GTTATGGAAGCCTGGAGAAAGGAGGATCTTGGGACCCTAGGATGCACTGCTAAAATATAACTAAAATAGGAGTTGGGTGAGGGCTGAGAGATTCTGTTGGTTTACTTCATACCAGGTACATTCAAAGATGGAGTTTCCAAATGGGTGCTCTCATGACATGTTCTTAGTAAGAGGCCAGCATTTGTATGGCATGACTATCCCATGTACCACCTTGCTTTCTGGAACCTGTCCTTTGTAAAATCCCAGCAGAATCATACATACAGGAGAGGGGATGGAGTGATGCATATGAATAATGCATTCATAGATGTGTCTTCAAATTAATACTAATACTAATAAATAATGAACTAAAAGTAATAACAATAGTTAACATTTATCAAGTGCTCACTATGCACGAGGTACTGTGCTAAACACTTTATACTTTTCATACATTATCTTATTTAATCTTTATAGCAACAGCCCTTGAGGTAGGTCCTAATGATCATCCTTATAGGTGAACACAATGTGGCTTACTACAATTCAGCCATACTACTTTCTTAAAGTTTTTTGATTATGCTTAACTTCTTCCTGCCTCTGGACTTTTATATATTACTGCTTTCTCTGCCTGTAAAGCTATTCATTCCCCAACTAACTCCTACTCACCCTTCAGGGCCCACCCTAAGCATCAGCTTTTTAGGAAGCCTTGCCTAACTCATTTAATAGGTGTATCTCCCTAATATACACTCTTGTAACACTCTTGTAACAAGTTCTCTTTCTTTATAATACATATTACTATATGTAAGCTTACTTGTTTATGTCTGTCTTCCTGACTAGATCATGTCATGAGGAGAGGAATGGCTGCCTTACTCTATATCTTTAAAGACATAATAAGTGCTCAATAAATATCTGTCACATGAAAGACAGAATTAATGAATGAGTGAATGAATGAATTTTGGGTCAAAGAGCTAGGAAGTTAAGGAATCTGGATGTAAAACAAGGTTGGTCTGACTCTAGGATCTGAGGAGCATGCTGTGTCTTTTGCTTCGTTGCTGATGATTAACAGGGCTGATCCCATACCTTGTCTGGAAATTGGAAAGAGATGCAGAGGGGAAGCAGCCTATTCTGGGATGGAGGAGTGGAGAGAGACTATTGAGGATTAAGGAGATAATTGGGTATCTTTGCAAATGTCACCAGAACCTTGGTGTAGAGAGACCTATTAGAAAGGTCTTCAGTTTTCTCTTGAGAACAGAAGGACCTCTAGGAGTGACAAACTAAATTATGTTCTGATTCTTCTGTTGAGCAAGGAAATTAAATGACAGATGGGAGAACATGTCTTTTCAAAGGAGAGGATCTCTTCTCTTTGGTTTCTTCTCCCTAGCCTCCTACACTCCTCCACAACAGATCCCTCTTCTTGAAGTGCTGGGGAAAGGCAGTCTAACTCTACTTCAGAGAGAAGGACAGCAATCCCCAAGGTCTTCCCTCTTGAGGAGGAGGAAGATTAAGTCTGTAGGCAACTTGGACTGAGCCTGTGTGAACTGTGGTCCCACTAGAACACTGATCCTGATGGATTTCTGACTATGCAGCCAAAGATTTGGTGGCTGAGCACTTCAGTGACTTGAAGGTAGACAACTTCATCTTCTTTTATTTCAATACTTTATGTTCTTTTTTGGAAGGAGTCTGCTTTGATGGCTATGATAACCTCCTTGTGTCTGGACATGGTGAGTTCGGTCTCTGCTTGCCTTTTAAGCGTAACATTCAGCTTGGACGGTGAGGGTGAAAACAGAGATGTGTAGGGAGGCGAAGGAGATCTGGTTGCTATCAAGAATGTTGTAGGGGCTGGCCCTGGGTTGAGAGTTTTTCAGAACCACTGAGCTGTAAAGCTATCCCAGGTCTTCCCTCTCCTCACTCCCACCTCCCTGTCACCAAACTTGAAGCTATCTCTTAGAAGATAGGAGTCAAAGTTTTCATACATAAAATCCACATCTTTGAAATAAAAAACACAAAGCATTTATCAAGGTTTTCACACAGGGTCACAGGGGCCACCTATTCTTTCAACCAATCATGTGCCTATCGAAACAAACATTTCCTAAGTGTTTGTTTTGTTCCAGTAATACCCTAAACCCTGGGAGGGGATGCAAAGATAAATTAGAAATGGTCTCTGTGCATATTTTCATCCAACACCAAAGGTCCAGAGTTTACTACTCTAAAATTCCCTCAGGTTGGCACAAAAGAATTACTTTTGCACTTTAGGGATATGGTGCCATTCAGCTGTCAAACGATCTAGTAGTACTAGGTTATCTATCTTACATTTCCATTTCCAGAATTTACCTTTTCCATCCTTTTGAAAATGAGAATAGCTGCCCATTGACATTTTCTGGCTATGTGCCCCATTCATTGTTACTCCTAAAGAGTGCCTCCCCTATGAATTCCTCCTGGGACCCTACACCATTCTTTTGGTCTTTTTCCCTGTAATTCCACCCAGAGGATAAAGGTAAGGCCTGACTCTAAGATTTGGAGTCTTTCCCCTTTTCATTACAGTGGAATTTTTCCTTGTAATCCTGCCCTGTAGTACTGTGCTTATGGCTTTGCCAGGCTCATGTCAAGTGTCTTACTAGAGTAATGATTGGCCCTACTCACAGGGAAGTGCCAGCTTCCTATTGGTTAAAATATATTTCATTTATCTCACAAGTCCTCAGAAATTGTGGCTGTGTATCAAAAGTTATAGGTAGCTGACTGTAGATAATATAGGTTAAATTTTGGTTTAAAATAAAAATGTGATGCTCATTAAAAATGTGATAACAAACGTCACACAGCTGATTTTTACCCTTATCCTAGAGACCTCTAGAAGTGGTGTCTCTTCCCTGTAGCTTAACACAGACATTGCCATCAGCCTCTTTGCCTCTCCAAGTTCTGTTGGTTTTTCACAGCTGGAGTTACCCCTTTCAGGAAACTCTCCCTACTCACCCTAGCCCTGTGAGATCTTCACCTAGGTGGATCCATTGGTGAGCATTCTAATCTGTGATCATGCATAATCATGCAACCTAGCACTTTTTATCATATAATCTTATTTTCTATCTCATGTATATATTCTCATATGTGTGATTTCTCTGTTGGTTACTTAGATTTGGATGAGCTTTTAGACTTTATCTTTAAGTGAGCTGCTACCTAAGTTATTTGATGCTACCCCACAGTCAGAAAAAAAAACAGTGGATGCCTACATGATGCGATTGAAGAGAATCAAGGTACTAGCCTAAGCCCAAAACCTTTTCCCACCAGTCCTTCATGGGGCCTGAGTACGCAATGAGACATTTATTCTCTTGTCTGTTTTATCTTGACACCATTTGGTTCGAAAATTCAAATAACCCTATGCTTCTACCTCGGTAAATATTAGTAAAGAGACCAGGGATTTTAAACCATGATATATCAGGGGTTGCTCTAGAGAAGAGGGAGTTCCAAGGAATGCCATCTCCATTCGAACTAGAGCAACTCTACTTTTGTTTTATGGACTAAGGTTATCCTAAAACTTTATTTATAAGCCATTCAGTTTCAGAAAGAATTATTTTTGAAAACCATTCCTTTAGGGCACTGGGTTTCAAAATTTATCCTGCACAGAAATCCTCTGGAAGGCTTGTTAACATGCAGATTGCTAGGCCCCACATTCCAGAGTTTCTGACTTGGTAGATCTAGGGTAGTTCTTGATAATTTACATTTCTAACAGGTTCGCAGCTGCTGCTAGTGGTCAAGAGACCATATACTCTGAGAACTACCTCTTTAGGGAAGTGTGTTAACAGCTTCTCAGAATGCTCTAGAAGCACTGGCAGGGGATGGGGGGTGGATTGGAGAGGGAGTGGGAGAACACTTCCAGAAGGGAAGTTGGTTAAAAAAAAATAGGTGTCCTGACTGATTGTTGTTTATTTGTAATCACTTCTTCTTCATATCTAAAGTAAGAAGCCACCAATTAGGGTTTCTGACCTTCAGGCATTGAGGCCTAACCAAATCCCAAAAGGGTGTTTATCTACACCTTGTCTTAAGCACAAATAGGAGCTTCTGTAAGAGCTATTGGTCCAGGCCTTCCTGAAGCTTTGATGCATCACTAAGTTTAAACTCCTAGAACCTGAAAGGACTTCAGATAAGGCCCCTAAATAATGCTAGCATTGTTGGTGATAAGTCTTCTAGGCTAGGCAGCATAATGCTGACATCAGGAGATTCTAATAAGTTGGAGAGAAAGAAGGTAACCAACCTCCTAATCCCACTAAATGTATAACTCAGTAGAATTAGACAATGGTTACAATATAAAATTTTATTGCCAATAAAAGCCTTTCATAACTCATTTATCCTGTTTCATTCAGTAGGACCTTATTCTTTCTGATGAAAATCCAGTCATAGCATCTCTCATTAAAAATAAAATTATTTTGAAATAAATAAATATATAAAATAAATAGCATGTACATTTCATAAATAGTTTGTCCTTATGCACAGTATCCATGCTTACATTTTAATATCATTTTCTCACAATCTACCCCATCTCCCAGTTCCAATGGCAGGAAACCTGCATGTTGGGACAGATGATAAATCTCCATAGCCAGTGCAGGGATAACCTGCAACAGGGCCATAGCCCCAAGGATTTTAAGGAGACTTTCCCAAAGCTCTGTATGTAGCATCTATGGCAGATTCCTTGGTCTTTCATTTACCCATTGTCAAAGTATTTGGGTGGATTGTGGGGCAAGATACCCCTGGCCCTTGGCAGGGGCCCCCATTCTTTCTCGTGCCACCTTGGGGGAAAGAACATGAGTAAAGAAATAAGTATATACAAGATTCCCTGTAGCCCACCCATCCTCCCACATCCCTCTCCCAAATAACCCAACTTTGATATACACTTTGAACAAGGGAACAGTTGGGTTGAGTTGAACATTAAGTGCTTCTCTGTTATCTAAATTTATAGGAAAGAAGACTGAAAAGCTATGAGTATAGTGCTTGCAGAGACAACTGTGGCCCTAGGGGTCAGAGGTCACACTAGGGGTCCATTACCTATAGCGGAAGAGGTCTCTGGACATGGAAGGCAACTTAGAAGGATCTACTGGCCTGGGCAAAAAGTGAGTGAATTTCTGGTGTCGTTTAGTCCTGTATCCCTCCCGGGGTGAGCCGTCTTTATTCAAGGCCACATAATACTGTCTCTCCGAGTCCAAGTGTTTGTACAAGGTTGAAGCATAGGTGTTGTACCAGTTTTCTTCAAACTGTTCCCGGAAAACACATTCACGTGTGAGTTTTTTCTGTGAGGGTGAGAAAATAAAGCAGAGCCTATTATATGACTCTTTCTCCCGTCCCGGCTTGCTGAAATATCAATAGCACATTGACATTAGAAAATTTCAGTCCTATCTCCCAGTATTCCTGAGGCATCTTCTTTCCAAATAGCACAAAACAGTCCTGTCCTTATTGCCTTCATCTTCTTTCATGAACCACACTGAAATGTTTAAGGAGAGATCTTTCCTAAAGGCAGGAGACCAAAGGAGATGGTCTCACTGGGCTCTTTGAGCCTGAGAATTTCTGCTATGGCCTTCCAATGCTCTTCTGGCACCCTAATTTTCTACCTACTTAGGGCAAATAATGTCAAATCCATTGATATTACAGACAACCATGTCAACTAGCAGGCAAAGGCCTTGGATCTATATAAAGCTCCATGGGAGGAGAGTTGTGATCTCTCCTAATGAAGGGCCTCAGGGCTGTCAGTTGAAAAGCTCAGAAAAGATCTCCTTGAAAAGTTCCTCCAATCTGGCTACTTCAAGCTAGGAGCTCCTGAGGCAGGTCTCTTGCCTCTGCCCCTTCTCACACTTGATCCAGCTGGCATACTACTTGCTGTGGTTGCTGATACCAAGTGCTGGGGACAGGCCTATCTCTTAGGTGTCAGGGAAAAATGTGCTCTGATTTCATGGGGTGTAGGCAGCCAGAAAGTGTGTTATGTGGCTCAAAAGCCAAACCCTGAAAGGGTTAAGGTCAGCAAAGTCACTCACCATTCCCCAGCTCTGGGCTAGCTTCCAGAATGGAGAACATGTACTGCAGCCAACCCAGTCCTAGCTGGGGACTTAAGCCTGTCACCAGACTCTGGAACCCTCACTTTTCATTTGTTTGTTTCATTTGGCCTCTGGAATTAAGCTGAAGCAGTTTGGAAATCAGGGACTGTGTTTTTAATCTCAGAATCTCAATCTGAAGGGCAGCTCTTCCACTGCCTATTTTTGTGCCAGCTAGTCTGCTACTCCTCTAGGCACCCATTAAAATTCAGAGGTGCTCCTCAGGGGAGTAAATGGCCCAAACCCTTACCATCTATTGACAAACCAGCACAGCTTACTATTATCATCAGACTAGCTGGCTGTCTAGTGGAAAAGGTGAAAGCAAATGTACCACAGAAAAGCTTAAGGTTTGATGGGAACTGAATGAGTGAAAGTGTTATATAGCAAGCTCCCAGGCATCCAAGAAGCAACTAGAAGACACTAATCCTTCACAGTTGACAGAAGTATTTCAAGTGCTAGATAAATGTTTTTATACGTTTGCCTTACATAGTCCAAACACTGGTGGTAATAGCCTCTGATGAAAAGAAAACCTTAAACTTACCGACCCATATAGTTCTCCTCGCTCGTTCATTCCTAAGTATAGGCCAGAATCCACTCCCCGGATGCTGATCAACCCCACAGCCAGGCTGATAAACTCTAGGATTCCTAGAGCAAAAAAGTGAATGCCATTTCCATTATTGATATCAAGCCAAGAGGAAGCTATTCAGGTGATATGAGCTACCAGTCATCTATACCTATACCCAACTCCTATGACACCATCTTGTGCAGCAACAACGGAAACTCAGAAAAGATACTGAGTCTCTCTAGGCCTCAGTTTTTCCATCTGTAAGGTGGGTGGAACAACCTCTTACTCAACACGCTTAGACATATTATGAAGAAGAGACCATGTGAAGGATTTGGCTACAAAAGCTTCATAATTACAAGGTACTATTGCTGTTAAATACCAACAGTTCAAGAAATGGGAGGGTACTTTATTAATGGAAGAATGTGGCTAGATTTCTGTATGTTTCCAAAGTCACTTCCCTCCTCCCTAGAGCACACAGCATTACCTTGTTGTCCTCTAGGCTGAATTCATTTTGCACCCTCTTAGCTCCCATGTCCTTAAAGCCACATGAGGCTGTCAACTGCCGGTACTTGACTCTAACAAAGGCCACACAGGCCACTAAGTCTGTTCTTCTTACCTATGGCAGAAGGCAAAATATGGCCTGGTGAGAGCCTTCTCTTATAAAATGCTTTTAGCCAGGGCAGCCCCAGGCTGACAAGCCTGTCATTTTATCCTTCTCTCTTTAGAATTTTAACTTTCCCCATGGCCAAGAGTTGGCAGGTAGTACTGGACTTAATACTGATTTGAGATGTTGCAACTTTAAGGGGAAAGTTTGGAAGACATTCAGAAACATCCCTCTAGCTGACAAGGTTAGAGGTGAGGATTTGAAAATGTTTTCATTTACTCAGCAGCAGTAGGAAGAAAAAAGAAATCAACTTCTAAGAGGGAAAATGGACCCAGAACTGAAATCCTGGTGATGCTGAAGTCTTTACAATTTTGTCCTAAGGTAGCACAATCTGTTGTTCCATGGATACAAACACAATGGTCAAGTAGATTCCTCTTTGATGTTTCTCTCTCTAACCGTGTTTTTCAAAGTACAGACCAAAACTTTATATGATTGACTCACAGAGGCATCCAAAGGTATGAAATGAGCTCATATCTCGCTGTTTTTCTTATCCAAAAATGCAATTCTTAAGGGTAACAATATTCTATGTAATCTACATAGGGAGTGGAACTGATGCCTTAAAGATTACTTTAAAAATTAAGTGGTTAATTTGTAAATCAGATTCAAGACTCCAGTGGGAAGTCTCTGGAAAAGCCCCAGTGATTTGGACTGCCAGATAGGTGTGCAGCTGTTGCAGCTTTAGGGCACATGTTTCCATGGCCCACTTGGATCTATTTGAAGAATGTAAAATGTTCTGCTGCCATTGTATAGAACACTCAGAGTGTAGGCTTTGGCCACCAAAAGAGAGAGAGAGAGAGGGAGGGAGGAGAGAGAATCTTAAGCAGGCTCCACACTCAGCATGGAGCCTGGCATGGGGCTCCATCCCACAACCCTGGGATCATGACCTGGGCCAAAATCAAGAGTCAGATGCTCAACCGACTGAGCCACCCAGGTGCCTTAACATTGAAATCCTTTACATTTTATTATCAATCAGGTTGTTACTAACACTTATAGCACAAGAAAGGAGTTTTGGGAAAACACATTGACACAAGATGGTAGGAGGAGAAGGGCAAATAGCTGGTGTCAAGTGGGGGTTAAGGAGGAAGTGATTTAATGGATCAAAACCTTTAGCTGCATTGCACAAGTGTCTGATTTTGGTTCTGCCTTGTATAACGCTTTAATAAATGACTTGTAAGAGGACATAGGGAAACTGCTTACTCTACTTCCAAAAGATGTACAGCTGAGAAGGTGACACAATCAAAATCTGAAGAGATTTCAAGAGGATGGAAAAATGTACTGACTCCACAAAATAAGCTTTAATTAGAATAAATGTAAAGTCCTGCACTTTGGTCCCCAGACTGATTACTCAAGATGTTTTGTGTTTGGGGTTTTGTTGGGGGATGGTGAGCCACAAGTGCAGACAGTTGAATTAATCACACTCCTTGCTTTATTTCCTGTTATCATAATTGGTCTGCACCAGGGCTTTTTATTTATCTATTTCTTTTTATTTCCATACTCTGCTTCCACCCCCCTCTGTACTTCAGGCAATCATGTATATTTTCTTGAAAAAATGTTATATTCTTTTGTGTTTCTATGCATTTTCATTAAATACAAGTCAGTCCACCATTGTAATGGGGAGATGTGGCTTAACAAAACATACACAACAATGGTTAAGGGATTTGGATAAGATCAGTATGCGTGATTCATGATAATGTAAAACTAATATGCATTAGTTCATAATAATGTGAAAAGCTAATGTAAAACTAGTCATGTAAAAATTAAAATTTATCAAAAAGCTCATGTGAAAAAAAAGCTAGTGTGATCTAAGGTTGCACTGATAGAGGTCTAGTAATGGCATAGGGGAGGAGACAGCCACCTCTTTGTTCTGCCTTAGACCACACTGAGTGTACTGTTTTTAGTTCTACTGTGTTTACAGAGGTCTATGGAAAAACAGGAGTGTGTTCAAAGGAGAATGGCCAGTATGGCAAGGAAAAAAGAAACCAGGTCATGATTCAGTTCTGTGTGCTAAACTTTGAGTGATACCAACCTGCTGGAGGCTTCAGTTATTTGCTTTGCGTAGACAGATTATTTCTGAGCTTCAAGTCTTAGTTCCCTCATTCTCTAAGTATCTCATGTTTCTGATCACCCTGAGCTCACTAAGTAGCAGAGGGCAACTTGTGACCTCACTGGCCAAGACCTGGTGTGAGAACAAATCATGAAACCCAAGAGGTGTGGCCATTTGAGTCACCACAGTTTTTCTCCAACTCTCTGTTAACCCTGATGCCAAAGGACAGATCATACAGGAAGTCATTTGGGTTGTGTCCAGTAACAGGGGTCTCCAACAGCTGGAATCATCCCTGCCCAGCTGTCTTTGGGCATCATTTTCATTGCCAATTTTCCTATTAGCTGGATTCAAACTGTGGGAACCCAGTAGCACATGATGATGGAACAAATATTCCTAAACCTCCTGAATCTCAGCCAGCATGAAGGGAGAGAGAAAACAAGCCATTTTCACATTTTCCCAGTTACAGTTGGAGAGGGGAGTTAACAGCAAAGTGTTGAGGCAAAGTGTTAAGTAGGCTATGTTTGTCCTCAGCACTCTCACCCCCTTCAAGGTCCAGGACCTCCCTCTACTCTGCCTCATCTTGACCTGTCCATCTCAGCCTCTGGCCTTTGCTTGACAATTTACAGGCTCTTCTTACATCTTTTCCCCCATGGCCTCAGTTAAAACAGATCTGCCCTGAGCTCCACTGCTTCAGAACCTAGCTAGATGGTTGGCTAACATGTCATTGAATCTGGTTACATGACTTGCCTGGCTCCCTCAGCCATCCTTTCAGACCTTCAGGGCCAAGACAGTGCTGCTTTGGCATCTTGACAAATAAGAACAAGATTACTCAAAAACTGAACCAGCTGCATTAGCCTGCTTCATCACACCTGGTGTGAGGCCTCTCCTCCAGTCTATCTCCCAAGCTCTGCCAGTCCACAGGTGCCCCTCAGGAATGTCAGTATCCCTGTGAACCTCATGAATGCCACCAGCCAAGTGGAGATTGAAATACTCCTGACTACTGATTGCAGAATGGAGTGGGGGAGGGGGGAGGATAGGCTATGCCAACAGGTTATTATTTGGAGTCGTGGCTGCTCTTGGGCTCAGCCTGACTCATTCTGAACACATGGATTCCAGGGTAATCCTTGGGGGCCCTGCTCTCCAATTACAACAAATAGCTATTTACTTTACATGGCCTTTGGAGACTACCTCCTCCCCCCAAGCAGAAATCTATAATATTTTATATCTTAAGTCTGGCCTACTTTACCCTGCTGGAATGTTGACTGCCAAAGCACTTATGGAATGTTAAAGTTTCGATTTATTGAATACCCTGGCTGATTAACTCAAATGTGGAGGGAGGAGACTTAGCAAACTCAAACGCCACCTCTTTCTTTGCCAAAAGCTAAACCAAGAAAGAATAAATGTGTGTTTGAAAGTTGGCAGAGGAGGTTACAAAGAGACAGCTTTGACTAGTTATCATTTCCTTTACAGGAAATACATGGAACTGCCAGGAAGCCAGGGAAGGAGGAAAGGGAAAAGGTGGTGCAGAGGTGGTCTCAGGCAGTGTTATTTTAAAAGGCAAAACCAAAAATGAAGCAGTCAGTTAAGCAGCAATGAAAACATCCCTTCCTCCTGCCAGTTTTATTTCCTTTGATTTCTCCTGAAACTTACCCTTAGCAGGCCTGAGAGATGAAAAGAAATCAAGATGTGTCCTTAGGGAGGTAATTAAAGACCACTTATCCTAAGAGCCTATTACTAATTTATGTTGACCTTGTAGGTTATTTGGCTCAGCTTAGGCACAAAGTCAGACAAACACTAGCTGCTGGAAGCCAAGGTCACAGTTTCTCCACCTCTGCTGCCCCCCACCCTACATTTCTCCATCATTTCATGATTCCTCTTTTTATATATCAGGAATGGACTACCCCAATATCTTTAGGCCATTTCTGGGAGATTTTGGGAGGTTCTGAGGCCAGGGTGGGAGTCCCATTCCTTCCGAAGAGGAACAAAAGGGAACTGCAAAGTCACAAGTGATGGAAGGGAAAGGAGTCAAGTTAATACTCCCTCTTCCCTGACTCCACCTTATCACCCTTTTGAGGACCTGCTGCAAGTTTATACAGGCACCTGCACCCCTCCATTACTCCCACCCTACACACAATCCACTGTACTCCAGCTCTGTGAGTGTTTTTTTTCCCCCAAGATGACATAGATCTTATTAGGGTTCCTGCTTGCTCTCAGCAAGGAAGATCAGCCCCAACCCTAAGCTGTTTGCTAGACTTGGCCTTGCCCAGAAACTAGCCTCTGTGCTTCCCCCCTCTCCTTCTACTGTGTACTCCAGATGCAACTCTAGCAAGGCAGGGGAAAAAGAAGATGGGGAGGTTTGGGGGGAACGGGGGAGGGTGGGATAAACAAGGGAACAGGTATCATGCCTGAGGGTAGGCAAAGCCTCTTCCTACCTGCTTAGGGATAGAAGATGTCCTTGGGCCATAGGGTCCATAGGGCATTGGGGGATGGGGTTACCAAGTAAAGGTAGCTGTCACAGTACCTGAATTATGGTTTAACAGAGAATAGGAAATTGAAAATAAAAATGGCCAAATTACTGAGAAATGAACACATTTGTTTCAAAACCTAATGATCTCCATCCCACATCAAGGTTTATACTAATTATGTTTTGTATGTCAGACAGGCTCTTTAAACAATCTGCCAAGTGTTGGGCAGAGAAAAATCCTGGATGGAGGTTGTACATTTCCTGTCCTGGGCCCAGGAGACACCTGTTTCTGGGGCTGGGAGTGGGCCCAGGACTGGGCCCCGGACCATTTCCTCCCTGTGAGGCAAGGAGTCCAGAGGTATATCTAGGCAATAGCTGACCTAGGGCTGTGCCCTACGCAGTGGACAGCGGGAGGATTTCCCAGTTTCTCCAACACCCAGCTCATGCCTTGCTACCGGGATTGGCCTCCACTCCAGGCAGAGCAAGCCAGAGGCAGGCAGGTGCCACGGCTGCCGATTCCCCTGTCAGCCAAAAGCCACTCCGGCACGGACCGCCCACCCACCACATCGATAGCCCACGAAGCTTCTGCTCCAGACAATCGGCCGCGACAACCCTGCTGCTCTTGAGGCTCGACCCCGCGCTACGGCCATGGTCCCTGGTCTCCTCAGCTGGTGCTTCTACCCTCCTCCAGCTCCACCTGCTTTCATCCTAAGCGCAGCGTCGTCAGAATGATCCCCTCGCTATGGGGGAGGGAAGAAGGGTGGAGTGGGGAAAAGAGAGGCCGCACCTCAAGGCGCCCCCGCCTCCTCCCTGGAGCCTCTGAAGGTGCCAGGAGCCCTGACGCCAAGTTTGCACCATTCGATCCTGCCTGCCCCGCGTCCCTGGCGGTGTCCCGCCTCGACGGGCCCGGACGGCACAGGCTTGGGGGCGGCCCGCGGATCCCAAGCCGGAACCCAGAGCCATCGGTTCCCCAGAGAACCGTCCGCTCGCTTCCCGTCCCTCCCGGCCGCGTCCTCACCGAAACGGCTGTGGTCGTGGCGGGTGCCATGCACAGTGCCGTTGGGGAAGATCTCCAAGTGGAAGCCGGTGCGGCAGTACAGCTGGCGGCGCCGCAGGATCCCCTTCAGGTGGGCGAAGTCTGTGGGCGAGCCGCGCTGCAGCTTCCCCTCGATCTGGCCTAGGCGCTCGTTCAGGAAACCCGGGGAGTCAGCTAAGGGCACGTTCCCCAGAGACGAGGAGAAGCCGTGCAGGTCCCAGTCCAAGGAGGCGAAGACTCCCCCCACCTCCGCCATGGCTGGGTGCGCGGGGCCGAGCTGGGGCCGCGGGGCGCGAACTACCTCTCCCCTCAGCGAGCACTGGCGACTCGGAGGCGCTCGTTCGCTCCCTCGCTCGCTCCGCGCTCTGCCTAGCTGCAGTGGACGTCTGTTCGCGTCCAAGGAACTTCTCAGCGGCGGGGCAACGAGCTCCTGACCTTTCTCTCAGTCAAAGTGGCGCTTCCCCTACGCATCCATCTCCCTAGGCCTCTCATAGCTGGCTTCGTCGAGCTATCAGATGCAAACGGCACTTTATATACATACCCACTCCCCTTACATTGACATATTGGATATTTAAATACAAGCCACACCTCACTGGCATCCCCTCGGAGATTGGTGTGTGGGTTTTTTTCCCCCCTTGTATCCTTTTGGCTCTTTTGGAAGGGAGGGGGTGAGGGAGGAGAGAGCAAGCGAGCTTCACTCCCTCTTTTATTATGAAAAAAAAATGGCAGGAAAAAGCTACACATTGCAGTGAGGCATAACTGTTTTTGGCAGGTTTTTCCTGAAACTGCTGATGAAATAACGGAGCCCAATGCGTGGAGGCTGTTGGCGCCCACGGCCACTCAGGCCTGTGGTGTGGAGGTCTGTCAGCTGCGCGTGGGCAGTTCCCACCTCCCACGCCTCCTCTGGCGTCTCGCCTTTGGAAAGTGGCTTGAGACCCGGGCTGGGGGTTCACGCGTTCCTGACCCCTTCTTGTTCCCCAGCTGGTCGAAAACTGCAGAAGGGGCGCCTGGCCTGGGACAGGAGCTGCCTGGTTTCTTTGTTCTGTTGCCCATCTCCAGTCCCAGTCCCCACCTGTAGGTCGGCGGGAGCCGAGGAAGTGAAAAACACGAAGGCGAGTGAAGTTGGGGGTAGTAGCTGTCCCTGCGGGCACCAAGCCGGAGTCTTTAAGGGGTCTGGGAGGAGCGGGAAACCCCACGGAGGAAAGAAGACATTTTTTTTTTTTAAAGGGACGTTTACAGCTTAGGAAAAGTAGAGGGGAACAAGAAATAGAAAGTGATCTTTTTGAAAAATGATCTGCACTGGCTTTCTGGGCGCTCTTTTACAAGGCTCCCGAGAGCAAACCCGATGAGAGGCCATTGGAAGCCTGGTGGGGGCTTCCCCCTACCTCTTTTCTTGTTGGAAACAGGTGTTTCCTTGCTCTGTGCCGTGCCCTGCTTGGAGATATTCTATCAGGAAGAGAGACGGTTGGAGCAGGAACTGGCGGCAGTTCAGGGCAACCGGCAGCATCGGGAAGACCTGGGGAGCAGGTGCCCAGCCTGTCCAGCGTCCCTGCGCCCCTGCCCCACACCTGAACCCTGGGACCCCTCTCTGGCCCTGGCGCTCGGCGTTCTGTTCGACTATTAAACTGCATTGTTGCTTGCAGTTTGCACCCTCAGCGGCCTCTGGCTGCCTTCCCAGTCTCCCGCAGGGGACTTCCACTGCACCTCCGCCTTTGCAGCGCCTCCTCCTGGGGAACCCGTGTCCCATGACCAGTTCGAACTCTGGCTGTCCCTGAGAGAAAACCGATTCCGTTCAATTCAGTTAGTGAAATTTGATTCCTGATCCTGGGCTCCCACGTGCACCTCATATTCACTGTCTGGAACTGTAGCAGTTCTTGGTTTGGAACATCGTGGCTTGGTTCTGGTGTGCCCTCTTAGCTCAGACAGAACCTCCTGAGCCAAGCACAAGGTATGGCACATAGTAGGTGCTCAGAAATTATCTTATGTGCTCCTAGTAGTAAGGCGCACAGATGAAAACGATCTTCCTGTTGTAGGGAACACAGAAATGCAAAAGATGGTGTCCCTATTGGAGTATTTATGGGTGAAATGACAGGCTATCTGGGATTTTCTTTAATCCAGAGTGACAAGGCAGAAGGAGTGGAGGCATAGATGCAATAATTGTTGAAGCTGGGTGATGGGTACATGGGTGTTCATTATAAATTTCCTCTACTTTATATATAAACACACACGTGAAATATTTCATAATAAAAATATCTTTAAAGTGAGACTGACATAAAACAAAGAAATCATTCCTTCCTTCTTCATTCTTCCCTTTGAAGAGTTTGTGGATTTAGTAAGAAGGTAGGGTGGAGGGGCAGAGGTTAAGACAAGTATATAAATGACTAGAATACAAAGTAGTGTAAGGTACAGTGCTGTATGAATTCAGAAAGCAGAAAGAAGACTGATCTCGGGGATTTAGGACTGGATTCTGGGCCAAAGTGTGGCCTTCATAATAGATGGGCCTTGAAAGGAAGATGGGAAGGATTTTGCAAATTCAGATGGGCCGTTACCAAGAAGGGGGAAGGAGTAACAAAGCAAGTGGGACAATTTATTTATTTATTTATTTTTCTTTTTATTTATTTATTTATTTATT